TTTCATCCCACTAGACAACATAATATTGCAACCTCAAAAGTTGTAGGCGTGCCAAATGTATATAAGTGGGGTACAATATTATGATGAACCCAAACCATCCTATTTTCCAAATTTTAAATTTTTTCTAGACAAATTGAACCCCACATTGGCATAAGCATGCACAATATATCCATATTTCGTAAGGGGGAAAAAGAAAAAAAGAATTCTAATAATTAACTAAAATCCTAAAATCCCATTAATTATCCCACCTTTTTACTCTTTTAAACCCCTTGCCACACCTAACACCACCACCACCACCATCGCCGCCATTCCTAGTCGACTTACTTTCTACGAGTTGTAAATGTTTGAAACACGACACTCCCAGTGGCCGGGAACTCATCCATCGTACAACTCCGGAATTTCATTCCAAGTGGTTCAATTGCTTTTGCTACGCACTTCCACACTTCGTGATCGGTGTAGGTTGTAGATACAGAAACTGTCCCAGGCCGAAAAACTTGCACCGCCTTCTTCAACACCTCGACGATGTCATTAGGATCATCGTAAATTGAGCCCACACACTCAAAGCTAGCGTAACTAAACCCATCCTCTGGTGTTACATGGATAGTAGAATACCGATCACCGAGTATACTATTCATGGAATACCCACATGGATCAAATGCAAAGTCACATATAAGAGCATCAGGGTTAATATCACCAATTCCTGTTATCTCAGTCATCTCCATCCCGGCCGAATCTCCATTTTTCCCATCGTTTGGACGCCGGAAAAACTTTCCTGCCAAAACCCTATCAAGCTCTGTCATGCAAACCTCAATAGTGTATAGCTCATCAGGCATGTTTTGCATTAAAATGTGAGATTCATCACATGCAGAAAACACATGCCATGAATGAGAAGACAACTTAGAGGGCAAAACAGAGGCCTTTCTGTAATAAAGATTGTTAGGCAAATTATTCTCCAAGAAAATGATTTCTTCCTTGAAACTTGTATGTGGGTAGGGTTGTGCTTTAGGGAAAATGAAATTTCCTCTGGTGTACCTACATGAACAGATCATGAGGCCCATGGTACAAGCAAGTTGAATCAATGGACGGATGGATTTCAAAAGCTGGGTGGTCCCACATGTTTTGATGATGATCTTGGTAGGATACACAAATAGGCTTGATTCTGATAGTACATAAGAGTCAAAATAATGGTTGCCAACTGCTGATACAACTGTGCATTGCACTGCATGCAGTACTTTCTCCAGTGACTCAAAATCCAGCAAACGAAGACCCATATTTCCGATCACCGGATCATCGCCGAAGAAGTGTAATTCGAGCCTTTTTTCAAAGCCTTCAAACCCCGAAACCGCCATTGATGATATAAATTAAAGCAAAAACAGTACTGATAATGTTCAAACGAGAACAAGAAGGAGATATTGATTATATATATGAGATGGAACTGTCTTGTTTTGTATGTATTGTGTATAGAGTGAAAGAGGTAGAGATGCCATGGTTGGTACAGGAATGTGAGTATATATAGGGAGGAGAAAGGAAGGGTGGGGTGGGGGATAGAGGGGGCATGCGGGTAAGGCAACAAGAAATAATGATTTGCAAGCAGAATGAGTACAAGATGATGGTCATTTTTGTATGTTGTGAGATCTTTCTTGAGACAATAACAGGAATCTGAATTCATGCCCACTCCCATTTCTTATTCTTGTTCTTCATCTTTAGATATAGACATTTTATTCCCAATGAAACATAATGATTTTTATTTTTTTACTTTTACTTCACAATTCAATTATGTGCAAAATTACAGCTTCACTTGTATATTTAGATAAAATTGCATAGAGCTACTTTCTTACTGTGTTATATTGTAGCGTAT